CCAGCCCAGCGCTGGGTCAGACCTGACCCTCGGTGGGAGCTGGCGAGGGGGGTTGCAGAGTCCGTGAGATGGTGTGAGGAGACTTTCTTGGTGTCCCCAGACACCACAGCCGTTTGATCTTGACTGGGTTCTACCCTGTGATGGTCACGCTTGGCCAGCCCAGCGCTGGGTCAGACCTGACCCTCGGTGGGAGCTGGCGAGGGGGGTTGCAGAGTCCGTGAGATGGTGTGAGGAGACTTTCTTGGTGTCCCCAGACACCACAGCCGTTTGATCTTGACTGGGTTCTACCCTGTGATGGTCACGCTTGGGCTTGTGAGGTTGAAAAACGGTGTCTGTGCATCCTCATCAGACAGTGCCCCCAGAAGCCCTCTGCAACTTTTTTTTTTATTCCCTTTTTTTCAATTGGCAATTACCAGCTAACTCTAAACTTTTGCATTTTACGTTGCAGGTAATTTCCAAATGCTGCCTTCCCAGAAAGAGATGCACGGCCTAGAACACGTGGAAAAGATGAAGCAGGACCTCCTAGCAAAAGTAAAAGCACTGGGTGAAGAGCTACCTCTCAATACCTTGGATGAACTGATCAAGCACTTTGGGGGCCCCGAGCGCGTGGCCGAGGTACCGCTCCCAGTCCAGGGTGTGCTTGGTGGGGCTGGGAGGCAGGAAGGGGGGTCCTGCTGGAGGAGGGTTTCTTCTCCTTCCTTGCCACCTGAAGAAGCTGTGGGGAGTTGACTTTCTCGGCCGCCTCGCGGGTCCCTCCCGGTGGCTGACGGGCTCTCTCCCGGCGCAGATGACGGGGCGGAAGGGCCGCGTGGTTTGCAGGCCAGACGGCTCCGTCGTGTTCGAGTCTCGCGCGGAGCAAGGCCTCTCGATAGACCACGTCAACCTGAAGGAGAAGGAGCGCTTTATGAAAGGGGAAAAGGTGAGTCGGGTTCGAACGGAGGAAACCTCCGGAGTGGGAGTGAGTCTGCCGAGGCGGGAGGGAAGGGGAGGGTGCCTTTGCACGCTCATGCCTTGCCAGGCTCCGGCCAACAAGGCTCTGTGGCATCTGTCTGTCTGTCTGACCTGCTGGAGAGTGACGGGGAGTCCTGGGTCCCCTCGCGGGCTGGGGACTTGTGCTTTGGGCTGTTTGATGAAGCAGTGTTGTAGATGACCAGGAATCTCACTCCTGTTTCTCGCTTGTCTCTCCCTTAGCTTGTAGCAATAATCTCTGAGGCCTCCAGCTCAGGAATCTCTCTCCAAGCAGACAGACGGGTGAAGAATCAGAAGCGCCGGGTCCACATGACGCTGGAGCTGCCCTGGAGCGCAGACCGGGCCATACAGCAGTTCGGTGAGGGTCAGGGCTATAACCTCAACTCTGGCACCAGGGTGGCGAGCGCAACTGTCCCTCTGTCCTTTTCTCCCAAGGAGACATCACCCCGGAAAACGGCTGTGGGGGAGAGTTGCTTAGGCTCTCGCACCTCGTGCTCAGCTTCCCCTCCCATAGCAGCCAGGCCGCACAAACCTCTCCGTCACCTCCGCTCTCACCTTCCCCATAGGTCGAACGCACCGATCGAACCAGGTTTCTGCTCCAGAGTATGTCTTCCTTATCTCCGAGCTGGCAGGGGAGAGGAGGTTTGCATCCATCGTGGCCAAACGTCTGGAGAGCCTAGTAAGTGCCCTGCAGCCACGAGATTCCAGTTTGCTCTGAGGAGTTTCCATGTCAGTGTTCCCACCGGTATGGCCAGTGTAACTGGTACGGGGCATTGCGTCATCCCCCGACTGAAGGCATCGCGGCTGGGGAGGGCAGAAGGCTTTCGGCATCTTGGGATTTGGGAAAGGAAGTGAAGAATACATCAATAAGGCACCAGGAGGAATTTCAGGGAAACAACCCAATTCCAGATGCTGGAATTCCCCCACTGTTACAGGAGCGCACGCCCATCTGCTTCCAGAAAGTTGATGCCATAATTAATGGAATAATTAATTTGTGTCTCTTCCATTTTTCTTTGCTTCCGATAAAGCCCCAAGTACTCTGGTGAAGCCTCAATATTCCAGAGGAACACGGCCTCCCCCAGCCTGCTCCTGCCCCGGCCTTTGGCTGTCCTTTGCTGGTGTTTTGCAGCAGCTGGAGGTAAGAACTTCTGTGGTTGGTCTCTTCCTAGGGTGCCTTAACTCACGGAGACCGCCGGGCCACGGAGTCCCGAGACCTCAGCAAGTACAACTTTGAGAACAAGGTAACTCGTGGCTGTTGCTGGGCTCGCTCAGGGGTTGCGGGAGTTGGCAGGTGCCTTCGGCGGGAGCTGGGGAAGGTCGCTGCTGGCATCTGCAGGCAGGAGCTGGTGCAGGCAGCAGCAGCTGACGTGTCTCCTCTCACAGTACGGGGCTAAAGCACTGGACAGAGTCCTCTCCACTATCCTCAGCCACACGGAGAACAGAGTTCCTGTGCCCAAGAGCTACGACAGAGGGGAGAAGGAGTTTTTCCATGGTAAGAACATGACCAGCTCCTGGGTTTCTCTGGGTTGGTCTGGGGTTTGGGATGCCCGGAGGACCCGGCAGAAGGTCAGGGAGAGGGATGGGTACCGCTGGCTGAGCAGCTCGCTGGTGACCAGGGTGGGTGGCCACCCGGATGCCTGTCACCCTGCCAGGCGTGAGGGGAGAAGAGCTCTGGCAGAGACTTCTCTGTGAGGTGACGGACACAGCGGGGTGGGGAGCTGCTCTGCGGGAAGGCTGAGGGGAGGCTTAACCTTAAAATGCACAAGCTGGTTTCTGCTGTTGCAGAAATGAAGGAAGGTCTCATCTCCGTGGGGATCTGCTGCAATCAGATGAGGGATGGCACAGTCTGCGTGGAGAAAGGTAAGTGTCCAACTTGTCAGCCCAACAGAGCGGGGGAAATAAGAGGGGCAGGGGTGGCACATGGCCTCGAGGGCAGCTGGGCAGGGTGTTCGCTTTGAGGGGAGAGTCCTGCAGAGATCAGCCCGTGCT